AATTCAAGTTGAGGCAGGGAAAGCAGGGTGACAGGCGGGGTGTGCGGAAAGAAGAAACGGGATCTTCTGGAGCCCTGTGGTCAGGGGGAACCCCGCTTCCTCAGCTCCTGGACAAAGGCTGGAAGGAAACAAGGGGCAGAGGTCAGGGGCAGGGCCTCTTCCCCCTTTCCTTCCAAAACAGAGCTCTTCCCAAGAGAAAAGATGCCTCCAAAATAAATGTTTGAAATAAAAAAAACACCTCACCTTCAATTATTTCCTCTTTCACTTTCCGTAATTCCTTCCTCACCTCTTCCAGAAGCTCCTGAAAATAATGGGGTGCAATGGATCAGAAAAGGTGTCTGGACTTGCAGAAGTGAATCTCCTTTCTAAATGACTGAAGGGTCAGAGGAAGGAGGTTCAAGCTCCCCCACCCCCCAGCCACCATGACATCACTGAGCAGGCCACAGAGGGACTGAAGAAGTCTTAAGGGAGAATTTTGGATCTTTGGAGCCAGAAGCAAAGTACTGGAGAACATCCAGTACCAGAATTGGCAAATACCTTCCAGTGTCCTGCCAACTCCTATTGGTGAGGAATGTCTGGGGCCCGTGTGCTGAAAAGGATTCTGGGTACTCATCAGGAATGTGTTGCAGTGATAGATTAGTAAGGTCTGTCAAGGGCACTAGATGAGGGGGTTGTGGCGTCTGTGCCTCCCCTGACCTGATCCAGTATCTTCCTTTCTCACGCTGGAGAACTGAGCATTTCTAAGGCCTTCCCTAGGATCATGGGGCAGGTCAGTGGCAGAGCCAGGGCCCATATTTCTTTCCTTCCTGCGTCCCCTTTCTAGCTCCCAACCTCACCTCCGGCTCCCTCCCCAAGCTACCTGTTTCACCCTCTCCAGGTCTGACTCATCAGCAGCGCTGGGTGTAGGGGCGTGGGCCTCGGAAGTGGTCACAGAGGACGACGACTTCATCCTAGGAGAGATGGCGTGTTTGGGACAGAAACAAAGTTAGAGGGGTCAACATCACATTCCTCCCTACAAATTCGACCAATCTAACAACTTTGGGTTGGTGGGGCCCCAGGATTGATGGCCCACCTTGGCAAGGTTGTGCTGTTCTTCTCCCAGGGTCTCCGCACAGGTTCTGGGGGACAGGCAACAAAGCAGAACGATTAGGGTCAAAGAATGCTCCGCCTCAGTCTTTCTCCCATAGCCTCACGCCTCTGGTCAAAGAACCACCTCGGGAGACTACAATCCCCAGCATTATTTGCACAGACCCTCTCACGAGGGTGCTTTATGTGAAAACAGGGCATCCTGGGACATGTAGTTCCTGCGGCTAGACTGGGCTCTCACTTTACTCACCACTGTGAGCAGGGACTCTGGCCTCTGGCTCCTCCTGCTGGTGGGAAATAAAACTGTCATGAGCCAGCCCATTTCACGCCTCTGCTCATCTTTCTCTTCCAGGTTCAACCCAGCCCATCCCTGTCACACCGAAAGATACATCCTAAGGTGTATATGGTAGGAAGAGCCCCTAACTCACATTGGCAGATTCATCCTTGGGGGGTTTCTCTCCAACTAGTGTGGCTTTCCTTCTGCAGGGGGGAAAGGCAAAAACAGATGGATCCAGCCCACCCTCAGGCACTCAACGATTCCCCTTCCCAGAGTTCTAGAAAGGTGGATCCTACGGTGCAGTCCTGGAATCCGTGAAGGCTAAGAAAACTTTAGTTTTAGAAGTTAAAGAGAGTACTGTTCTCAGAGCGGAGTGGGAGTTTTACACTTCTCACATTTGGGAATCACAAAATTCCAAGGGCGGAGGATTCTAAGATGCTGGGATTCCAGGAATGAACCTGAGTTGCCGGATTTTGAGGCAGGAACTTCTAAAGTCCTTGAATTCTGGGTTTTAGAACATTCTGCAAACCTTGGCCATCCTAGGAGAATGCAGCCTCCAGCATTAGATCCCAAACCTGGCTATCGAAGTGGGAAATTTCACCCAGAGAAACAAAAAATGTGAATCTGAGTCCTCCCCCCATCTCACCCTACTGAACAAGAATCTCCAGATGATAACTGCTGGTCTAAGGGGTTTGTTCCCAGAGCTTAACACAGGCCTGGGCTCCAGGCTCAGGCTCACCTCCGGGCCAGCATGGCGTTCATCTCTTCCATGAGCCCCCCGCCTGTGCTTCGACTGCTCTCAGCTTTGGGGGCTGAGGGCCCCCCTGAGGCCTCCTCCTGCTGGAGAAATTAACAGAGAGGAGGGGACCTTTATGGGTAAGACTCCTGACCTCCCAGGCCCTCTTGTGACACCCCCAGGCAACTGTGGCCTCACTTCCCATTATTCCATCAGGGCCCCAAGTCACCCCACCGCCTGCCACGCCTGGCCCCCTTACCTTGCTGACTTTCCTGAGTTTGGCTCCGGCAATGGCTGCAGCCAGGCCGGGGGCCCCCGTCCCACCACCACTGGGGCCTGCTGCTGTGGGGAGAGGGGGCGGAGGGGGTGGGCCTCCCCCTGCTCCATGCCCCACAGCTGAGACCCCCGATGGGGGCAGACCAGGGGGTGGGGGGGGACCCGGAGGAGGCGGAGGTCCTGGAGGTGGGGGTGGCCCCCCAGCTGGGGGAGCAGGTGGGCCTCCTGCAACAAACACAAAAGAGGAGGGGTGCTGAGAGAGAAGCCTGAAGCCTCATTCATCGTCGTCTCACCGGGCCAGCCCCTCCTCCGGGGAGGTCCCCCCGATTCCTGAGGCCATGTGAGCAGTCACCTGCATTGGAGACCCGGCGCTCCCGCTCCATGTGCTCCGGCTGCCTGAGGAGGGACGACGGAGCTGCCGTCACTTCGGGCCCCGAGGAGGGCCAGCAACCTCTGGCCCCTCTCTGAGGTCTCCAGTGAGGCCGGTTCCTAAGCCCCACCCGCGTGCCTTCCTTCCCGAAGGGCCCAGGAGAGGGTTGGGAGGGGACAGCAGGGACATAGTGAGACCAAGATGAAAGCATTTAGTGTCATCACACTGTCAAGAACATTCGAATTACAAAATGCCCAAGATCCTTTAAACGACCAACTTTTGGACTCCGGGAATGGGGGCGGGGGGAGCGGTGGAGGGGGCAGGATGTGAAGGGTCAGAAAGTTCTGCGACTCTGGGTGTCACGAGTTTCTCAAACCCCAGGAAGTGGGAGTTTCTGAAAGCTGTTAATTTCTAGTCCCCTGGGAGTTGGAACATTCTGGAAACTGAGAGTTGGAGAGTTCTGAACTCTAGGAGTCAAGAGTTCTGGAACATCCCAGAACTCTGGCAGTGGCAAGGTCCCCCACCCAGGGCCCGACCCCACCTTTTGTGCTGCTCCGCCTCCTCCGGGGAGGGACCGTTCTGGACAGACCAGGTAGGAGGCCCCGCAGGTGGCTGAGGTGGCGGTGGTGCTGCTGGAGGCCCACCTCCTGGAAGGTGAGAGTGGGAAGGGTGACGAGTCAGCCTTGGAACCCTGCCCCGTCCCTTGGCACTTTCCCTCAGCTCAGAGGCCACCTGGGAATCCTGCCCTGAGGCGCTCACTTCCTTCTCCCTCGGGATGAACTTCTGGGATGAGGGGCAGCACCACCTTCCCTGACTGAGCTGATATGAGGCGGGTGCTGTGGTGATGTCCCCAAGTGACAGGTGGGACAGCAAAGGCCAAGAAGGGGCAGTCACTAGGCCCCAAGCCCTACAGACCAGAATTTACAGTAACAAGACGAACTGAGGCTGACTCCAGCATCCACTCTTAACCACCGGCCGCTGAAACCCCCAGCCTGAGAACCCGAGAAAGCGTGACAGCCTCTTCCTCACCCACCCCCAGGCCTGGGCTCCCATGGACCCAAACTGCACACCCTGTTTCTCTCTGTGCCCCGAGGCAAGCAGTCCCTTCCCCACGGGCTCTGAGGCTGCTCAAGGAAGCAAGACACCTCTGCCATTTGGTGACTGCAGCAGCAACCGCCGACCGCCAAGGCACAGCAGTCCCCTAAAGCCTCACTGTCCAACGGACCTGGCGGCCCCAGGGAGCTCGTCATAAATGCAGAAGCTCAAGCCACCCCCACAGCCCGACCGAACTGGAATCTGCATTTTACCCGGAAGCTCAGCCGATTCGTGGGCACGCTCATTTATCTCGACCTGGGAGGCGGTCACCCAGGAGTGCACGCGTGTAAAAATTCATGCCGTGCACTGCACGGCTGGAATCCGGGTGCGCAGCGCTCACACGAGAACCCGCGCGGAATCCTCAGAATAATTCGCCACAGGAGCAATGAATTAGCCCCATTTTCAGATGAATAAACGGAGGCCCGGGCCGCACGCAGGGCTCCGCGGTTCCCTCCGCCCGCTCTCTCTAACCTTCCAAGGCCTCGAGGGCGCTGGCCATGCCCGCGGCAAACTGGGCGGCGTCCTCCTTGCTGCCGAAGTTGAGGCCCCAGACCTGGCGGGCGTCGCGCCACTGGTGGAAGTTGGGGGTGGCCTGGTTGTACTTGAGACCCCGGATGATGGCACAGTTGATGACCACCTGGCAGGATGGGAAAGGGCGGTGAGGGGTGGTGGGGCGCGGTCCGCGGAGGGGGAGGAGGAGGAGGAGGAGGAGGAGCGGGCGTCACCTGCTGGTCCGGCTGCATTTTCCGGCCGACCACGCGGAAGGAATTGGCTGTGGGGTTGTGGTAGATCTGGACTCGGCTGAAGGCCTGGGGGCCGGTGCCAGCAGGCAGCCACCGCTTGTTGCCGTCATCGTAAAGCATCACAGTGGCCCGGCTGGAGCAGATAACCGTCTCGCTGCCAGGAAAAAGGGTGAGAGGCCATTTAGCAGAGGAGACAACAGCATCCTCCCTCCAGGGGCCGGCCACCTTCTCCATCCGGGTCCCCCTGGGAGAGTCAAAGAGACAATGCGAGAAGAGGAGAAAGACACGGCAAAAGGCAGAGAAAGATCCTTGAGAACGAGAGAGACTGGGTGGGAAAAACAGACAGGCAGGACAGAGCAAGACAGACAGCCTGGGAGGGACAAAGAGACAAACTGGGGAAATTAGACAGATGAGCAAAGATACAGACAGAGAGAAAGAGACAGGGAGAGGAGTCGGACAGACAGACGTGAAGGGACAAACACACAGGTTGATATGGAGGGAGAGGTGAGAGGCAGAGCCAGACGGACAAAGGGGAGACAGACAGACAAGGGAACGGTGAGGGGGAAACAGACGGAAAGAGCGATGGACAGAGTCGGAGAGAGCCAGGTGCAGGAGGGGACCCAGGAGAAGCAGGGCGGTGAGGACAGGGCGGGGACTCTGCCTGGCACTGCTGGAGCCTCAGTTTCCCAGGCTGCTTGGACTGCTCCCCACTCCCCACTGGGATCAGAGGGGGAAGCTGAGGCCCAGGGAGGGGAAAGACGCGGCCTGCAGCACGTTGGGAAGCTCAGCTGAGCTCCGGGCTCCGTCTCAGTCTCTTCCACTTCCTGCTGCCATCCATCCATCTACCCCTGCCCCCAGACATCACTGGCCATCAGCAGACACTCCCTGCTCTGTCGAGGCCACGACTTGGTCAGTGACCCAGACAGCCCCAGCCACACCCTCCAGCGCAGGAAACGGCCCAGTCTCCAGACAGGGACAACTAAGAGCTAGGCCCAGGGTACCCAGGAGCAAGTGACATCTGACTCAGCCTTGGGGGAGGGGTCGAGAAACTCGCTGAGTTTAAGCTCTGAAATCCAGGGACCTGGGTTCAAATCTCCACTGAGCCGCCCACTCCACGTGACTCAGACGAGCGACCCTCCCACTCGAGAACGGAAAACCAGGGAAATGGCAGTCCCCTCTCCCAGGGCAGCGGGAGGAGTAAATGAGTCTGGGCACGTAAGGCGCTTGGCGCAGTGCCTGGCACTTAGAAACTGCCAGCCTCCCTCTCACCGGTACCCTGAACAGCCACAACCCTCCCGGCCCCCTCGGGTCCTCCTGGGGAGGTTCACTCTCCCCTGCCCCAATAAGGAAACTCAGGCTCCCAGACAGGAAGTGACTTGCCCAAGGTCACACACCCACCAGGGGGAAGCGCTAGCACCCACCCACCCCCAC